AAAAAAAAAAAAAAAAGAAACATGAAACTGAATCAATGATTTTGTATGGCATGGCAAGAACCTGTTTTGAAACAGGTTTTTCCATAGTGATACTTGCTGCCTAAGAAGTCTGCACTGAATTGAATTCATTTCATCTGCGTAATATCGCTCTTGCCTGCCTCCTTACAAGAAAACCCAAGCTGCAGTGTCACCCACAGCCTACAGGGAGCCCCGCGTCTGCGCGCAGGATGGGTCACAGACCGCAACCCAGTTCCTGCCGGAAAAGTGCTTTCTGAGTAGTTTGGGGGTATCTCTTGTACAACCACGGCAGAGGCCGGACCCAGGCACATCTGGGTGATCTTGACTGACTTTATGACTGCAGAACGTCCTCTCCATCCAGGTGCCAAGGCACTGATACAGCCCCCGAAGCAGCGAAGGCTCATGAGGTGTAAAGAACCCGCTCCTTACTCAGTAAATGACCAGTGCCAAAGGCGTTTGTTATTGCTCTGGACCCTGCTGAAGTTAAAAAATGCTGACTCATTTCTCTCACCACCAACTTAAAAGGGATCAGGTCCACAGCCCCTGACTGAGCCAACCGAATCATTTACTGGCATGAACTATAAATACCCACAGCGATGGGCCACAAGCCTCCAGTCTGCCACTTCAGAGTGAGTGCATTATTTATGAAAGAGTCCACTGCTGAGGCTCTGGTAACGGCGGGCTCCAAGGTCAGCTGAAGAATACAGAATTGGGCTGGAGGGGAGAGGAAGCTGATACTATCAAGTTGGTACCCCAAAGACACAGAGCAATTACATTTATTTCCCAATTGGCAAGAAGGAGTTTTTAAAAAGATATTTATATGGGAAGACCTGAAAAACATTTTAAAATTCTCATTCTCAGTCTCAAAGCTACCCAGATGAAATATAAGATAGCAGGTTCTACACCTTCCTCCTATCTAAGCAATTCCACTGCACTGTCTATTAAAGCAAGGGTTTCAGTGAACTGCATCTCAGTATCTGGATCTGCACACTGATCCATACTTGAGCGGAACAGGGAGGGGAGTCACATAAAATAATGCAGAAACCAAAATGGATTAATAATGCAGAACCTTGTGGGACATGAATTATCAGGAAATCTTATTAAAAAAAATTGTATCAAAATTAAAATGTAACTCAAAAGACAAAACTATTCCTGCCTCCCTCACTGAAATAAAGAGAAAAATAAATAAATCATCAAATGACAAAGAAGTGAAGTTTGTATAAAGTGTTGATGGTTAGCAGCATAAGCAGTTCTTACAGAGGGGGGCCAGATGGTAGCGCAGCAGTAAAACTCAATGCTCTGATGGGGCCAGTAGATGGTGTAGCAGTTATGTTGCCAGACTCCCACATAGCCAACCACAGTTCGAATCCTGGACCTGGTAGCTTGATAATCCCACAGGGCGGGTGTGCATGCATGCCCAAGATCCCAGAATAAAGGAGAGATTGTGGCATGTCCACTCCCCCTGAGAGGAGACTGCTCACTTTCACTCTCACTGTCACTGTCTCTCTCTCTCTCTCTCTCTCTCTCGCTGGCCAACATATGCACCCTTAGGCAAACAGAACAAAACAAAACTTCTTTTAATAAACAAGTAACAACAACAAAAAAACTTGACACTCTGGGAAACTGACCCACATGGGAAAGTTCTGGGTTCGTGTCCAGAGACCTGCCTGAGAGCACCCATGCATGAGCCTCTCGTCCAGGGCTGACTCAGGGCAGGGGGAGATCATAATGTCTAGACCCTATTCGGGAAGCCTGGCTCTCTTGCTCACGAAAGAAATAAATAATAAAGGGAAAAAAAAAATCAGAGGCTGGAAGGAATGGTGAGAGAGTCATTTATTACATTACCCTGACACCCCTTTACATAGAACTACACCTGAATGTACTTGCACTACGTGAAAAAGACACCAGTCTATTTTTAAAGGCCACTCAGAAAGGAAATGTTCAAGATCTTCCCTGATAACCTTGCTATGCTTAAGAATCCCCACTGTACCCAAATCTTTCCTTTTATCTATCTTCTTTTCCAATTTGATTGGATTTATTTTTACTGAAGCATAAAACCAAACTATTTCAGAATCTAAGCCAGATGTGTGAGTTTTGACAATGTTAGCAAAATAAAACCTAAGAGATAAGAATTTAGAATTTTTACCTCATAAAACAACTTTTTAAATCAGCACTTTTTAGCAAAATTCAGTTATATGCTTCTTCAGTTGCCAGCTCTACCTCTCTAAAAATTTGGATCAAATTTTGCTATAGCTCATTAATTAGCTAGGTACTTGGTCAAATAAAAATATCTGTATCACTGAATATAATTTCCCCCCTTTTTTTAGGGAAAAAAAGAGGCAATGAGAAGTGAAGTTGACATATGCTTTATTTAAAACATATCCAAGTATAAGAGTGTTCAAATGATGTAAATAACAGGTTGTCGGAAAAGTCATGTATATTTTTCTATTTTTTATGCAAAAATGCTTTGTGACTTTTCCGACAACCCAATATTAAAAGCTTGCAATAGGCCCTCCTGAGTCACGTTGGCACCCCCAACTGTCCCAAGGCCTTTACTGCAGCTGTCCTTCACCCAAAAGTTATTCCCTCTCCCTTCCCACAAGTAAAAATTAAGCCAACAGTGGGATTTTGACATAAACCCACTTTGATAAAAACTCTATGCTTGTCACCTTGGTGATAATTTGAACTTTTCTTGTCATTTTTCATTTCCCATAAGGTCGGACTGTGATACAAATACTTCTTGAGATTTTCTTATTGACTCTCTTGCTCAGATTTTCTTATTGACTCTCTCAGCTCAAAGGCTGAGGTTCTGTCCTCCAAACACACAAACTGAAAGGCACATAAAAAGGCCGAGTTATCAAGGAATACTGAGAGAAGCTAACGAATGTGCCATATGCCCGATGTTGGCACATGTGAACTAGAAATCCTGAAAGAAAACTTAACATTATGAAAGCATAAGTAAGCCTTTCTTAGTGCTTTTTAAAATGTTTATTGTTCAAAACAAACTTCTGCGGCAGAAGTGAATTGCTTCAAAGGGCAAACAAGAGAGAATAATTGCTTCACTAACAAAACAAGAGACACACCCCATGAAGGCGGCATAATTAGGCCCAGAGCTCAAAGATGAGAGCATCAGGAGGGCAGTTTAGCTCGGTAACTCAGCAGATCACTGCACTTATGACGATCTAGCCGAGACTAATGCATCTTAAATCAGTCTTTCCAGAAATAAACAAAGTCACATCTAAACAGAGTATGTGTCTAGGCTTGTGAAAAAGCAGACCTGGGTGGTAGCCAAAGGCTACTTTCATCACATCAACAAACAAATAGTATTTTTGGAGAAAGAACTGCATGCTGGCTCTGGAGACATAACGTTGCCCAATTCAAGGAAATCATATTGCCTTATGAATGGGAATCCTAAAATTCAAAATTTACAAAATTCATTGGCTTTCTTTTATTCATGTATTTAAGCTCAAACAGCTCCTGGTTCACTGATGTATCAAGATGCGTAAATATTACAATTTTCAACCTTTACCCAAAGTACTCTTCTGCAAAAAAAAAAAAAAAAAACCTCTCATCCACCTTTTTTACCTAGTTCTTTTCACTGATTCAACTCAGTTTGCTGGTATCCATTACAATAAAATGGTTCCCAACATAAAACAGATTTTGAAAAGTAATGTTTTTGTTGAAATGAATGTGGAAGCCCAGACCACCCCCCCAACCCCGAAAATCAGTTAAGCACAAATAAGAATTTAATTTCCAAAACCTAGTGGGGTGTAAGTCAGTCCCTTAATTAAAGCTTTTGTAGTATCTCCTCAAGGTCTGTAATTGTCTCCCTGTGCTCAACGGGTAGGACCACTCAGAGGACCTTGGGGGTAATTCCTGGGCCTGTAATCCCACACAGCACCCAGTCTTTAACGCATTTTCTGGATAATTGACCATCAAAGAGTTTGTGAGCTTTCTCTCTCGCTCGTTGCCAAACACCTTTCACAGTTTCTTTTTGCCCCATCTTTTTTTTTTAAAAGAGTAATATTATAGGCCCAAAGTTTGAATAAGTTCTACACAGAGTCGTCCCTATCATTTAATAAAGCATCGGAAGTAGGAGCTTAAAGTGGTCACTGAGCAGATCCCTAATCTGAAAGCATCAAACGGTGACATCAAGCATGAGGCTCTTAAGTCCTTATCTCCAATCCCTGCCATGGGCCACAATCAACGCCTTCATTCAGTGCTTTATTTGGTCCTTCTCTAAAAAAATCATCTACTCAAGCCATTTTACTTCCCTTTCTTCTTGTTACGAAAACACACTTTGGGGTTTGAGCCGACATATCTTAAGTGCTTGTGATCTGGTACTTTACCACCAAATTCTCCTCAATAAAGAGATAAGAATGAGATAGAGGGGATGGGCAGGACACACTAGAGAAGGAATGCCCGAAGATCACATATGTCACAGAAAATAACATGAGTTACCACAGCAAGCTTCACCCACACTT